GTATAGAAACGACAAAGGTGCTTCTGGTGCATGACATAGCAAATTACTTATGATTAAGACGATGAATCTGTGAACAGTGAATTACACAATAACTGTGACACATAATTACATAGTCAGCACCTAGCCAGACCACGTGCATTAACTACAAATCATATTCTGAATCAGACAGATGGAATATAATAACACATTCAAAATGTGTTTATTTTCCTGAACACAATACTAGCGGGCTTCGCAGATAACAATACATTAACAATCAACAACAAGTTTAAACAGACCATGTGCTAGTCACTCTAGTTAATAAAGATGCGAATTCGCCTTTGGCGACCACATATCAGAATATCCGATCTAGAATACACCTGGAAATCTAGATCTAACACAATCTACTGAGCATACCGCCAAAACATGAAACCAGTGAGTTAGTTCATCTCTCGACTCAGTCCTCCTGAACCTACATTGCGCTAAAACCCTGTACTGTTCTGCAACGAAATTTCGGGACTATCTGCTTCTAGTCTCACTGCCACAGACCCATGAGCCAAAGAGAGCTTTTTCTCAAGTCCCGGTTCTGTTATCACCTTCCTGAAAAAATTGACCTGCTGGATACTTCCGGGGAGTCCTATTTCTGCAGACCTGCCACTTTGAGTGAACCAAGTGCATCCAGACCAAAATGGTTACCAGGCTAAACCTATGCCACCAGCTTGTTGCAGTCAAAAGATCCCATTAGATGTACCAAAGGTGTTTATCAGTATTTAAAACAGTTTGTATGTGTGTCTGTTGAACACAGTCAAAAGTTAAGAGCCTTGCCGTAATCTATGAAGCATGTATAGAGATCTCTCCTGTACTGTCTATATTTCTCTAGAAGGATTCTCATTTATGTTGAAAATATGATCTATTTTTCTTCCACGTCTAAAACTAGATATGTGTGTGTGCGTGCTTGTGTGTGCGTGTATGTGTGTGTGTGTGCGTGCGTGCGTGTGTGTGCGTGTGTGCCTGTGTGTGTGTGTGTCGGCGGTGCATTCCAAAGCGCCGGGCTCGGTCTCAGCAGCGAACGATTTGTTTCGCCAGTGGTATCTAGAGCTGACCGTGCAGTAAGCAATGGCAAACTACTGAATCTAAAATTTGTCTAGAAAAACCACAACAGCCCAAAAATGCTACAGTTTGGCTCTGCAAAGTCCTGTAAAGGATGCGCAGCTAATTATAAATAATTAAAAAAATTGATAAATAGAAGAGTCTCCAATAGATTTGATCCAGAAAAAAAAGGACCGAGCTGACAATAAAGACATTAACTCTTGTACCATAAAACAGGCCACGTCTATGCTGTTAACATGTAGGTTGTGTAATTAAAGGGTGGTCATTGATCCTACAAGTTGTTGGTTGGCGTCCGTGTTATGTTTAATACACGAAGACAACAGGGATTTATTATGGTTTTAATTGCTCATATAAATAACCTGACTCTCTTTGTGCTAACTGTCGGAGTATTATGACTTTCTAGCAACGATCAGCAGATCCTTTACATCAGGTCGCTTCCTTATTGGCACGCCTCAAAGTTTCTCTCTCTCTCTCTCTCTCTCTCTCTCTCTCTCTCTCTCTCTCTCTCTCTCTCTCTCTCTCTCTCTCTCTCTCTTTCCGTGTGTGTATAAAGGTAATTGTATGTATGTAATTTGTACACCACCAGGACATCACACAAGCGATAAACACCTGAAGACACAAAGTGCCACCGTGTGGATGAGGATCACCGTGGAGAGGTCATGGAAACCGCGTTCTGACATTAGGCCATATTAATTACCAGGCTGTATTACGGCCCTTGAGAAAATTGATAATTGCCTTCAAAATATCAAAAAATTGCATCCCACAACGGGGTGTGTGGAATGTGTGCAGTGTATGTGTGTGTGTCTGTATATATATATGAGTCTGAATCTATGTATGTGTACGCATAAGTGTGGGTGCTTGTTTGTGTATATATCTGCTTGAGTGTAATTATAGTCTGAATTAGAAGAGAATCCAATGATTGCATCATTCATGTACCCTAATTTTTTGAAGGGAAATAATAATAAAAATAAAAACATCGATATATTTATCTGAGTTGTTGGCCTTGCATTTTTATTTGTATTCATTACACGTTGGAATCTCTGTGGCTTAGTGCTCATATAGTCTGCCTCGTACCGTGAAGGTCAGGGTTTCTCTTCACTGACTACATCTTTTTTTTTTTAATGCAATTTTCTACACAGATCGAAAAAAAAAAATCTTCGCTGGAGCTATGCGGTTCGTGATCTGCACAACATTGTTGGCAGGTGAACAGCCTTTGTTGGGAGAGAGACGACGCCATACAGAATCAATGAAGTCAACACTGACGATCTGAAATGTTACAACTTTATACATTTAACGTGGTAGCCGCTGTGTTGTAGCAGCTAGGTGCTCGTCTGCGGATCAGAAATGACGTTGGCTGCAAGATCGACCCAACCTTGAGAAGGTACCAGGTATGGTCCTAGGAAGTAAATGCGACCGCTGTGATGGTGACCACATCACCCACCAAAGGCCGATTGGTTTATAAAATATAGGTCTAGCCCTATGTGTCCAGTACTTATGAAAGAGTGGAAAAGGGTCATTTATATACATTTAACATGATCTGTCTGTATGTATCAAACGGCATATGATTTGTTATATTTTTAACGTTTGGCCTGAATTAACTGAAGAAATCTGGCTTGATATTGTTATAAATAAACACCATTTACTTTCTCTATATAAAAGTAATGTACACCAGTTGTTTTCCATTTTAATTATTATCTTTCCCAGATATTTACTTCTAAAATGTGACTGAGTGAAATAGTTACGGAAGTAACCAAGTTAAATGTATTGTATATTTGGAAGAATATTTTCACCATGATATCCTCATTTTATCGTTATCACTGTGTGCCTTTGGAAATATCACATTAGTCAATCATCATATAACCAGCAATTAAATATAAATCTGACATCGAATCAGTCAATCATTGACTATTCACACCAAGAAACCATCACAACTATCATTCATCACCTCGGTCAGTAATTACAGCAAGTACTCATACCACCGACCTGCCGAGAATGTTAAACAAACTACGAACCCCATAGCTACAGGAATACACCCACAAGATATCATCATTTACACAGATGGTCCGTGAAGTGCGGATCGAAGTTAGCATCTGCATACACAGTACACAGGATGTGGAAAACAATGATGATATAGAACAGCACCGCTTACCAGGCAACTACCTCAAGCATGACCATAGAGGTATCCACTGCTTCTAGACTAGCATGGGCAGCAGAGCAAGCAGCCACGCATGCAGCAATTGCATCAGACTCCATGAACATACTTTAGAAAATAGACAGTATGTACTCTGAATTAGTAGAAAATATTCGAAAATCGCACTTAACCTTCCTTACCTGGATCTACAAACCTGGTCATGCTGACGTAAAGGGTAATGAGCGAGCGGATAAACTGGCAAGCATTGGACCAACGCATGGACGGAGCAGAAATCATCAACGCTGTACGGACTGTGGTAGTGGATAATGAGGAATCTCTGGCACTAACGCGATTGCGCGACACAGGAGTAATGCATGGTGAAGCACGTCTAAACCGCCTTCAAAGCGAAGATAGAAGACGTTATAAATAACCTCTCAGAGGTATAGCCAGTACATATACCTTGGAGTAGCTGTTATATCTGAGGACTGAGCACGCATGGGAATGCCCACTGTGCAATGACGTCGATTGTGATGACATAACATTAGACAGCACCAACAGCCAACACTCAAAGCACCATCACATAAACCTCTCGCACAGTCTATAGAGTTGTTGTTCAAACCTGTAACTAAAGGAGGAGAAGACACGGTAGGTAAACATAGCACACAATGTAACAGAACTGAATGCATAATGTCAAGACACCATCACTAGAATTAGTCATCACAGCAACAACCGTTATAGTAACCAATCATCACTTCAACCAAAGACACAACATCCGTTCGTCAGAGCAACCAAACTAATCCAATCATGTGATATTCTGTGACAATACAACAATCGTTACAAAAACCATTCACCCCGTGTTGGTTTCGGGGCCCTCTTTTAGGGACAACAAGAATAGACCCACTGCCAACACAAAAACATGTCGTTAGATCCAACTCATTGGGAGCTTCTTTCGAAGTCGGAGAGCATCTGCCTGAGAAGCGACGAACCAACAGTCTGCACACACATTAGTCAGATTTGTCAAACGGATGCACACGCAACAGTCAAGCTCTGAAACACGACTGAAGTCCAGAATTGAACAAACAACCAGAACTTTCTGCTGGAATTTACAGGTGGTGAACTCGGCAAAAAAGAAACAAACCAACCAAACTAACCCAATCATGTGATATTTTGTGACAATGCACACAAGAGCCAGTGACCAAAAAGAACCTTAGCATCCAAAGGAACTTCTTTCCTGGCACTCTCCTACATATTAGGTTAGTTAGGTATCCTTTACAGAATGTTGCAAAATCCCACCCCAGCTGCCCCTGGCTGTTGTGTGGTTTCTCTAGGCAAATTTACGTCCAGTAGTTTGCCATTGCTTTTTGGACGGTCGGCCCCTGATACCAATGTCAAAACCAACGCAAGGCGCATGGGCTGCAGCTGTGATCGAACCCGGCATCCCGGCATTACGAAGCGTTTGCATCGACTTAGCCACAGAGCCGACCTCCAGCATGTACCGACCTAATATGTTGACACTGTTGTTGTTGTTGTTTTTTTTTTTTTTTTTATGGCCAAAATATTCCTCCAACTGCGATTATATTCTGTATTTCTGTAACAGTGTGTGCTATATTTTACCCTATATATCTTTTCTTTTTTCTGATTTGTTTACAGATACGGGAAACAACCCTATGGATTTTGGGAAAGACTCGGTGTACCAGGACCCAAACCTTCAATTTTTATGGGAAATATTTCAGAATTGTATGGTCCAGAAACAGCCAAGGCGACTTACGCCAGATGGCAGGCT